TGCTACCATTGTTTTTCCTTATCATTGACTTGCTCATATCCCTCCTCAATGATCACCTATACCACTCTTCGATATCCTACCTTTTACTTTACCATTGTTGACTCCTTACCTTACATTCTGATTTATATCTTATGTTACATTCTGTTACTGTTACATATCTGTTGACACATTGATTGTGACTCCATACTTTACTGATAGGATCTTCTCTTCTTGGTCTTGACCACCATGTACCTTTCCGAGTGGCTGCTCTTGAATGACCACACTATTGTTCTGTCATTCTTGGCTCCTCTTAGTTCTGTCTGGCCAACCCCTCTAGTGTTGACTGCCTCCACAATATGGCAGCCTTCCACCAATCAAAGATATGAGGAAGAAAAGAAAGGGAGGGCAATAGGAGGGAGAATGAGGAAGGAGGCATGAGGCAAGGAGAGTGAATGAATGGATCAGCCCTCCCACTGATTCCCATCCCAATAAATCCAGCCCAGGTCGGATTACAGCAATTGGCAGTACACACCAAAATGAAACCCATGTGGAAGCCACCTGACGACCATGTCAAGATCACATGAAATTCCCAGGTTCAGGTGACATGGCTATCGCCTGGACTCCAGAGTTTCCGTTAAATGGATTGCAGCTGGATCCAGCTTCCCCCCAGTTCCAGCTGGATGGAGGATCTGGAGTACAGGTATTCACATTTCCATGTCTCAGTGATTATTACACACTGGTACCATCCAACTATACATGTATCAATCACACTTTCGGATAATCAAGAAATCACATATATAAATGTAGTGGGTAGTATAACAAGTACAACAGGTCGTCTACCCATGAGACAAAACCAATGCTTACCCTGATAAGCAGAGAAGATTAGGAGCCAACAGCCGATGACACCAAGGACATTAAATGATTTGACAGCGGGTGGCATTGCGCGAGAGCGGCACCGAGAACAAGCGGCATTGTGGGGGGCAGAAACACCAAGTGGGGCGAGCATAGTATTTGAGATCGAAGTAGAGGGCTCCATGCCATTTCACCGGCAGTCTTGCATTCGCATGTATTTGAGATGGATGGCATCTTGATTAAAAACACGGAAGAGGCCTGCATAGACTTGAGACTTGACACCAATGAGTACCTGAACCAGATCCATGAGAATGAGGAATGGAGGGATATTTGGCAGGAAGCTTGTGGCGGAGAGCTAAGTGGCATTGCAAAATTGCGAGATGGGAACTTGCAAGGATCTTGAGAAGGCTTGAGTTGCCTGAGTTTGTCCCAGGTAGCCAGAGCTTGCGGGTAGTAATTCCGAATGCTTGTGAGAGATGGACCATCTGTCACGCCAGCGGACATGAAAGAGGGAAGAAAGAGAGATGCCATTGTGACCGTCACAATGGTCGGATTGTTGATCAGTTCTTGACGATCAAATTCGGCAACAGATCAGCGGAGTTTCAACGACTTATTATGCGCTCACCGTGCCGCAGACATGTCGCGCCGGGTTACTTATAAATTCCAGCATAGGTTCACATTCATATGTCTCCCTACTTCAAAGTGTTTCAAAAAAAAGCCACTGTCTTAGGCGAGAATAGTGTTATTTCCAGCTAACGCCAAAGCCCAAGAGCGCTTTCAAAAAAAGTTCTCAGGTGATTTCTGATGTCAATTACCTTTTCTAGTGCTCTGCTCCACGCTGCCTCACCGCTGGGCCATCGAAACACGGTAAGTGATGCCAAAAGCCCCAAGTAAATTTTTTGGAAAGTGCTCTAGGGTTTTGGCATTAGCAATTACGGGATCTATCTCTAAACTGGTCGGATAGATTCCAGGTCGTACCCTGCAGGATTCCAGCATTATTTTCCAGTGATATTGCCAGCTAGAATCCAGCTGCCATCTTGCTCATCCCCAGGACAGTGGTTTTTCTGGGTCTGGCTGGAATACTCGGCTGGCTCCAAGCTGGGAACCATTTCAGTGTGTAAGCACCTCTTTCGGAGCCCAATGCTTTTCATTAATATTACAGGTCCCAGGCGCAACATTTCTCGGAAGAAAGTTGGGATATCCGGGGAGTTCATCTACCGATGATACTCTCCCGCTGTCCCAGGGGACATTAAAGGGGAATGTTAAAAAGAAAGACACCGAGGCCAATAGCGACCGCGATGAGCTCATTGAGGGGCCCCGGGCCCGTGCCAAGCGGAAGGGTGAAGCAACCACCTAAACCCCCTGTCTCTGCCGACTCGGATCCCAGCCAACCCTCTGCCGATTTGGATCAAGGTTCCCCAACAAAGAGAGAGTGGTCTCTCATAGACAGAAACAATAATGATTTATGCTTAGTTGTGTTATACTTGTAAACTGTATGTCACCTCGCTACAGCCTTGGTTTAAGGCAGTCCCACACTGTAGGTGATTCTATGCTTGTTTTATACACCTCACCATGATTTTTTTAATCCTCAGAGAGGGGGATCTGACGAAGCCCGACCCGGACTTGACAGGTTCTAGTATGCTGCAGCCTCCCCGCCAAACCTGATCACCATCTCAGTCTTGGTATGTTGGGCAGGTCTCGCCAGGACCTGATCAATCAATTTTCCGACATGACACTTCCCCGTGGACGCGAAGACTTCAAGAATGTACGATTCAATTCAAGTTTGCTATCACCGTCATGACCGGGATGTCAGAATGCCTGAGTCGCACTTCGTTATCGCTTCGTTTTGCACAAATGCATCGATGTCGCACAGCCTCAAACACTATAAAACCACCCCGATTCTCTCTCAATCCTCACTCGAACTCATTTCTCCATCCTTCAAGTTCGCAGTACACATCGAGGAAAGAATGTTCTCCAAACTGTCTGTCGTTGTCACCTCGGTGCTCATGGTACGCTCCGCCGACGAACATATTTTCATGACTGACAATTGTCTGTTGTCTCAGGTCTTTGCTGTCGCCAGTCCCAGCGGCCCTCCCACTCGCCCTTCTCCCGCCCCTGCCGTAGGGACTCCCCCTCCCCCGATCACCCCTCCGATCTCTCCCCAGTGCTGCGTCAGCGTCGTGCCCGCATCGAGTGTTTCCGCTGCCGCCGTCGCTTCTGTCGTCGGCCTCGACCTGACAGGGATTTTAGTCGATGTTGGGTTGAGCTGCTCCCCACTCTCCGTCGTAGGGAACAACTGGTAAGCAATCTCTCGATGTAATGCGCATCTGATAATATCACCTCGCTATACAGTGGATCGACTACGGTTATTTGCGACCTTCCCTTGAAAAAATGGAGTAAGTCTGGCCATGGACACCATTTCTGTGCACTTACTGTGCTAACAAACGGTTAACTCACAGGTCGTCTCATTGCAATCAACTGCATCCCCATAACCATCTGACGAGGAAGTTCATTGGGGAAGAATACTTCAAATTGACTGGAAGGCCCGGGGCTGACATGCTGAATCTGTTGTTTTCGATTAGTTTTGTCTCTTTTTTTTTTGTTGCCCGCTACATCCAACGCACTTTGCGCTGCATGGCAGCATACACAAAATAACGGCTTAGAGCCATTCCGCCTACGCTGTTAACCACGACAGCGCGACTGATGCGCCATGATGTCCAACAGGTGACATCCACTGAATTCACAGCTTGGCTATTTCCACGCTGTCTAAGGCTCCAACCACTTCCGTTTATAAACATTTATACACGGTTTGAACCGTTTTCGTTTTCATTTAATTTGGCCATGGGGCCAAACGGTTTGGAAACCGTTTTTTAAACGGTTAAACAATTGCCGAAGTTGACCCACCTCGAGGGATTGGACAGACGAAGACCTGGGTACATCTTGGATGTCAAGATGTTTCTTGAGGTATATTTGATCCCCTTGAAATAAACCATGGGTGTATTGACTATTTTCGCGCCCAGCGGCGGGGCACATTCCCGTTATGGTAATTGATGGTTCAATATCATCAGTGATGCGCAATCACCCACCGCCGCGGCGCGCGATTGTCTGCTCTTGAACGTGAATGTTTGTGGAATGCCCGCAAAAAAAAAAGTAAATACCCCGAGTAAGGTTCTCAGTCTGTGTGGTATACAACCAGGCAATTTTGTTGATGCTTGAACTTGCCAGAGGCCGGAGCTGTTCAACACCCGTTGCCGGACTGTGTTCCTACTATCCGGTGAGTGTGTATGAATTGCTCAACTGAGAAGTCAGTACGATCCCCATGCGCTCGCTGTAGGGATGTAAAATTCCAAGGGAATACAACGGATGCCACACATGGCCGGCACCTGATACTAATAGTTCATCCCCTCAGGTGTACCCGAAAATTACCATTTATAAACTGTTTTAAACTGTTTCAAATTTTTAAACCGTTTCCGTTTAATTTTCCCGGATCACTATACAAAAACTAAATGATTAGAGCCTTAACGCTGTCCGTCCTTTGCACCGGCGGGGCTCGGAGAGGAACTTACCCGCGAAGTTGACATCAACTCAGGAGTCAGTTTTCATGAAATCTCCGGAAACATCACACTCCAGTCAGTTCATTTGGAGATGCACAGGTACAAAAATTGTATAGTGGAGGTGAAGGAGGGTCCTCTTGAATCCCACACAGTGAAAACACTAATGCTGGTCATGGTTCCACTTTAAAGTGGTGGGTTCTTCGCTTATCGGTCCCCCCCATCAAAATCTGCTTAATCTTTCGGGGACATTTTCTCCACAACGCATACACCGAAAGAAATTAATTCTGGAGTAACTTCAAGGTAAGTTCATCCAGACTATAAAGCCAAACAGCTCGCTGGGACACCCTTATAAAAACCAGGAGTAAAATTATTTTTTCGGTACCCGGTTTCAGCTCTGTAGCTGTGACTTGGTAACTTCAACAAATTATGCCAACACAGGATGTGATCAAGAGGTACCATAGCATGACTGCTGATGTTCTAAAACAGAATATTGACTACCTGCCCCTCTGGACGCTCAACTCCACCGGATCAGTTTCCTGTGATCTGATTCTCTTGCCGTTTCAGCTGCATTAGGATATTCGGGACCTATATACCCATCTCTGGAACACTGATATCGACCTCTTGGCTCAGTGGTAGAGCATCTGATTCCAGTCTATGGTTGCGTAAGCCATCATTTGACTCCAGAAGGTCGTCCGTTCGATCCGGGCAGAGGTCATTATTTTACTGTGTTCGCTTTTTTGCTGGCGCTTCGAACACTTTTTTTACCCAAAAGAACATCTACTACCTTTCCTAAGCTTGCCCTCTATCAGCTCCAGAGGCCAGAGATCACCTAGCTAAAGTCCCACAGCCAAAAATGGCTTGAGTGCCAGTTTAACCCCAGAAGCACAAATTATCAGGCCATTTCTTGTTCAAATCACTAGGTCTAATCTCCAACCACCTCATATTGTTGGTGTCACTTATGTGTGCCTCCCCTGTAGATCCATTTACCGTGCTGGTTCCTCAGCTGACCTACTTGTAGCTCGCCAGTATTGCCTTGTACCCAGGTCACATCATATTTACTATGGGATTCAACGAGATTTGGGGTACCCTACTGCAGCCTTTGCGTCACAATGGCACCCTCTCACGTCCATGGACTTCAACAATCTCGTTGTCTGTCAAACCAGTGACATCGTCCCCATGCTCACCGCCTGTCTCGACAACCTCCCATCGCTGGTTCTGTCAACACAAGAAAAGCCCCGAGCTCACACTCTATTCCGCTCCCATCCGCCATGGCACGTACAAGCTCTCCGTTTTCCTTTCTGGCACCCTAATGTGCTCTTCAGTGTGCTGCTGACCTACCACTTCACCCTCGCACCTGCCACTGGCATCTTAGAGGCCTGGCAGTGTGCCTCCGCCGTTCCTGTAAGTCCGGTCCACCACAGCTCTTACGTAGGATACGCCCTCCGGCCGTCGAGCATTCCTGATTGGAGTAACCCCTATCCAGTGGTAATTTACGGACCAGAGGAATACACAGCCCATGCTACAAGAACAATTTTGAACATCCTCGACCTGCGCCATCCTCTGCCTGTCTGTGCTGAGAGCTATATCGTGGAAACAGACGGTCAATTCCCTACCTCATTGTCGGTCTGCATCGGCTGGATGGAGCGCAGGTGGTAGTGGCGACAATGAATCTCAACTCCCTCATCGCCATTGTCGTTCATGAACTTCACTTCACCGCACAAAAATTCCAACTCAGTGCAGTCACACTTCATTTGTGAGACTACCACTTCACGCGAATGTCCTGAAAGACAGGCATAACTTGAACTGCGGATGCTTCTCGTTCGGAACATGGAACCGCGGCGAGAGTCCGATGTTGACTTCGAATATGGCTGTTTATCAGAATTATGAGGGTGTACATAGAACATGAAAGACTGAAGCATGTAGTCTCCCCTAGGCAGATGCTTCAACAAAGTTTGAGCTCGTACCTTGCTTGTTGAATGAAGCATGCGAGTTTCCAATCTTTCAAGTTGTATCTTGAGTTGACTCATCTGCCTGGAACATATAGTGGAGTTTGTGCTGAAAGGAGCAAGGACAGTCCCACCACGTAACAAGTCTACCTCGTCACAGCGAAGTCGGTAGCCCATACCTGGGCGGAAGAGCCATTGCAGTCCACGGTGGTGACCTATAGAACACTGCATCAGCATCTGAATCGCAGACAGGGAGCAAGGAACCCACAGCAGTGCCTGTATTTGTGAGACACTGGAAATTTTAAGCCAATGATAGCAATGAACATTACAACGCCGGACTGGAGCACCAACCTTCCCCTGCGCATCCCACACGATTTGAACGGTCCCGGAAGACGGACCATTCATCATCCGGAACAGCTGCCGATTCTTCGCCAGATTGAGGCACGGCTGGATCTGTAGCTGCACGCCGTCATCAATGTCCCCGCCCGGGATGGTCAGGCACATGTTGTTTAGCACATCGCCCAATTTGAAATTCTCTGCGACGGAACCGAAGTCGCCGGAGATAGCGACGGAGGTCACCTTGGGTAGATCACAACGAAGCCCTGGGTTGGTGGGTTGGGGCCTGTAGGGAGGGCCGTGAAGCAGGGAACGACGACGACAAAATGTCGCCAGGTCTGATTCCCCACAGATTCTGACAGAGTGATAAAAGGTGTGTGTCCAGCGAAGAGTTCCTTGGCTGGCCCGCTTCGGCGTTCGGTTCAGATCGACTCGAAATTGTGCGCAGAGACCTAAATTGGTATTTATGGCGTCGCTCGATGTTCAAAGTGCCAATGTCGACAGATAGGTATTGTTAGAATCTGACACGGCGTCTTGACCTTCGCATCTATCTTACTAATCTTTATACTTACTATATTGGTGCAGTGAGACAGCCCCTAACGGTTCTCTCACTGTACCAGGTATGACCTTACGCATTCATCTTATGTACTTGTATCTAACGGTTCTCTCACTGTACCAGAACTATATATTATTTGTTTAAGAGGTATGGCAGCACTGCACAATGCGTTGCACATGTCAATAATGATACATATCGTGGTCAGCAGTAATGTTGCCGCGACTCGCGACTCCAAGGCCCCAAGTCGACTCCACGAGTCGACTCTGAGTCGAGTCGAGTCGAGTCATGGATGTGACTTTGTGCGACTTGCTAGTCGAACCAAGTCGACTTCCCCCGACTTCGAGTGACTTCGAGTCGGTCTCAAAAGTCAGTTATGTACCTTTCATTGTGTACTCCTCAGAGGACTAATATAACATCGGGAAATCACGTTGAAAGTAGAAACTGAAAGAAATTTATATATATATGTTCTCTCAATATTTACAGCCTTTATGCATGTTCAGGCTGGGAGTTGGGGGAGTTAATGAGTAGCTTTAATGCTTGCCTAGCTTGAGTAGGGGTTTCCAGTTCCCCAGTGGACACCCAACGCGAGAGAACAAGAGCCAACCTGAAGAAAAGCGCGAAACCAAACACGCACACCGACCCGCGAACACGGCGAACCCAGGGCCCGAAGATTGAGCAAGTGTGAAGCACAGACGAGACGATCGGTACAGCGAGTGTCAAAGGATGATTTATAATCTCCAAAGAGTCCTTGAGCCGCCGCATTGTTGCCAGCGTTATCGGAAATAATAATGATAATAGCCCGAACAAATCTAGGTTGATTAATGAATTTGATGTCGGAGTGGCAGCCAGCCCCGGTTGACGATGAAGAGGAGGGCTGGCCTCACAACATAGCCGCTGCGAGCGATGAACTTGAGCAACAGGACTCCAGGAGGTGATGGTAGCACTTACGGAAAGTTTTTAAATGGGGGCAGGAGGGAAATGTGTAGCTCAATTTTTTTGCATGTGGGTCTAATTGTATACCGCTCAGCTATCCAATTATGCACTCCCTGTTTTCCCATCGGTCTCAAAACATGGTCAAAAAAAATCCAACTTTATCGACTCGAGTCGACTTGAGTCGACTTCGAGTGACTCCCTGGGCCGGAAGTCGAGTCAAGTCGAGTCGAATGACTTTTGAAGTCGACTCGCCAAGTCGTGACTCGACTTTTCGAGTCGCGGCAACATTAGTCAGCAGGAGCAGGCAATTTTTTCTGCTGATGAACTTCGGAGGATGTATGAAGCAGGCACGGCAAGCGGTTAAGCAGACCAAAAACATCCTTTACATTAACACCAAATTTCGATCAACGTCGCCGCACAGTCGGGCCAGCGAATAAAAAAATCGGTGATTCCGAGGGTTTTAAAAACCCAAAATGGCTGTTTCGCAGGGTTTTCGCTCGCCGCGGCCTGAACTTGGTTGGACCGTTTCCCATCGGTGGCTGTACTTCCCGCGACATTGCGGGGTCCTCAACGTAACGTGCTCCACGACTAAGCATCTGGGTGAGTTCTCTTCGATCAATTTTTTTTCCCGAATAAAATAGTAGGCCTCAGAGGGGGCAGATGAAACCAGCTGGTCATGAATCTCTATCAACATAATTTCCCATTTCATAGATCACCAGTCCAAGAACTTCTCCCTGTCGTGCTGCCAGGAGTGCAGTTATTTTTGAGGTGCAGATTAGTTTGAAAAATAAAATAAAAATAAAAACGAGCAATACAGTGGAAGAGATCCGTCTTCAAAAACATTTTGATGCAAGCGGAAACAGAGTTTACGGGCCTTCCGACATACCACTCGCGGTCTTGACAGACCTTGTTCAGCCTTATAAACAGTCTCCCGTAGGGGGTTGAGATACCCCAGAAACAGAATTGGATGTATACCACAAATAATTACTAGACACGGTTGAGGAAGGAGTTGCATAGCTTTCGAACTCCCTTAGCCTGCAGTCTAGATACTCTTCAACCCACCACACTGACACTATCTCCGTTCACATTACAAGTTTATGTACCTCCAGCCCCACACATCACTCTCCTTAGTGATGTGCTTGGTTTGGTTTCAAACCAGCAAACCAGCAAACCAAAACCATGGTTTGGTGAAACCAAACCAAACCATGGTCATGGTTTCGACCTGGTTTTGGTTTTCTTAGCCAGTATCAAGTCAGCAGCATGGCTCGGTTCCGAATCGAACGGACGTCTCCTACTGTAGTTCAACCCAGTGTACAACGCAGTCGGTGCAGGGGTGGACTGTCCACCACCGAGCGAGTAGAAGGCCAATTTAACGTCGGGTGTCGGAGTTTCCAGGATGTCATTGACAAGGATATTTGATTCAGCTGCGTACAGTACGCTGCCGAACCCATCCTGAGCCTCTTCTTAGTCCCCACAACCGGCTTCGGCCGAGATTCCGATCAGTCGGCTCGTGATGCTCATCACCGCCGCGAAGGCTGTGGATCGCTTGTGACAGCTGCTTGTCTTCCTCCACATTGCACGAAATGGCTGGCATAACAGACCTCCCCACCGAGATCCTGGTAAATATCCTCGAACATCCTACTTTTCCAACTGAATCCCTCTACTTTCTGGCTTTGCTCTCCCGGCGACTACATTTCATTGCTTTGCCCATTTATTTCTCCCGCAACGGTGTTGATGTGGAATCCGCCACGGTTACCCTGCTCCCTCACGGCTTGGATCCTATTTCTGCACTACAAATATCCTTGTTTGTTTCCTCGATGGAAAAACTGACATGCCTCCTCCCACATCCGAGCTGTACCACAATCTCTCCGTTCCTCACACAACTGAGGCGACTTGAGACCTTTATCTCCCGGCTCACCTCTATCCAAGAGGTGCGGTTGGATC